CGCCTTCCAATGAAGAATAAAGGCTTGAGTTTTGGTAGCGTTGAATTCAACCATCAGTTATTGGTTTCCCAGGCTGTGATTTCCGCAAGATCTTCATTGAAAGCGAAACGCCGCAATTGATGGCAATGGTATCTGACGCTACTCCGTCCACTGATATTGAGTGAATATATTTCAAGGGATGTGATCGAGAAATTATAAAGATTTGATTGATAGACATCTTGAAGCATGGAAAATACCAAAAAAATTTGAGAGATATAGTGAAATAACTAAAAACTAGCAAAAGGCAACTGCTAGTCTTCATCACTATGGTTTGAGAAGAACCTTCAGATAACCACATTGGAATAGAAAATGCGAACATTTCAGAGTCGACTATACTATCATGGCCTTTGAGTTGAAATTCGAAATTCAGAAGTCCTATACCTTTATTTTCATACCACAACTCATGCAGAACATCTCATCGTTCATCAAAAGGGGTTACTTACTTCAGTAAAGGTATAAGATATTCGAAAACTGAATTCAAGATGTTAGGATTTCAATGGTCATGAAGTGGTGTGAGCTACTTTCATTCCATTTCTCATTCTTTCGATCCCGTTAGTTTGAAGGTACAAGAGGAATAAAATATTTTGGAAATTTCTGTTAGACTGAAGAGTATTCCTGTGTTCGATATATATCCATTTCGATAACGCCCTGTATATAAGACCTCGCCAATATAAAATATTCTTGACAAATATCCTATTGAACACTGATATTTCATTTTCTGGTAAAAATTCATGCAGGGAATGCACCTCGAATTTGAAGAAGGTAACACACATCTTTCACTGTTGAGTGTCAAACAGTATAACAGAAAAAAAATATGTTTCTACAAACTCCAAAGGATGACAAGGTTCGCGCATTGATAGCAAATTGCGAAGTGAAACTTTTTATCAGTTCCCTACGTTACCATGATACCTTGCACAAAATAATGCGCGGAGGAAAACAGTGCGCGAAGTACCTACCTCGCGCACTGTTATGTAAAATATATGAAACATTTATAGTTCAACTTTTTGGTCCTCAATCGAGCAAAAATTCACGAAATCATTCATTCCTGCATGTTCAACAATAACTTAGTTTCATCTCTTGGAGCGCACGAAAGGAATTTCCTATTATGTTCGTGGAACATCGTGCGTACCTAGGGTGGATAGGGGAAGTCTCTTCAAGCCAGTTTAACAATATTTTTATATCAAGCTGAGCACATTTTTACTTCAGAACTATATTTTTTGACGTTTGTAGAAAAAATGTTGTTTGCAACTCGAGCGCGAAATACTTTGGTCATCTCGACTATTTTTTCAACGATCACTAAAGTAGCATTTCACGCTCTAGATACAAAAATATTTTTTGTTTAACTAGGCAGAAAAGCACAAGGTTCAATGCCGCAGCTTGCGTTTCATAGCCAAAGCATTGAATCTCTTTTCTACGTTGTGAAACGTATGAACTTTTACCCAAATTCGTTCCAAATCCTCGCAAAGTTTTGACTTCGATTTGTGTTCACCTATTGTCATTGTCAAATTGGGATAACCATTGTTTCGACTTGGAACGTTGCATAGCAACCAATTTTTCTCATTGGAAGTAAAATTATACCTCTTTACTATACAGAAAAAGCATAAGATGCAATGCCGTGGCGAGGCGGTGGCGAAAATGAATAATATCATTGATCTATTTTCCGTGGAATACTCTGATAAACGAAAATAGTTTCAGTTCACCATCTCATTTGTTTTCTGCAGAAAAAAAAATATAATCAATGATTTCTGTAGGATAAGTGCGAACGAATAAAATCATCTTCAACAGTCTTCGTACCTAATCTGAATATCTGGAATGGTCCCTTGAAAACTAGATTGAAACATTTGATATTTCTCCTGCTCGCATCTCAATATCGGTGAGCAGTCACCATCTGCTGCTTATAGGTCCCTTTCGCTCTCTCCAATATGCTGAAGAAAATTTATGCTTCGACCGGACATAGGAGTCACGATAGGGAATTTGTTTGACAAAGTTTTACGACCTTTATTTTGATTAAAATATTATTAATAATCATAAGTTCTTGGAAAAACTTTCTGTGGCAGATAATTCTAGAGCCTTGTCGTTCTATATAAAAACGTTATGATAAAATATTGATCGACATATCTCGAGGTTGATGATGAAAGGATGTGCTAAATGGGCCTGTCGAAAGAATATGTTGTTACATCCACATTTCTTTACTCCCACATTGCGTTGTTCCCATATTTCGATAGGTTCAGATCTCGTTAGCCTCACATTAGAATATACCCACAGCTAACGAAATGTGCCAAAATGCCCACAATAACTGTTTCAGTGAATTCTGGTGTAGAGGATAGTATTTGGCAACATTGCGTCCTCTGGGTATGTTCGGAGACTGTGTGAATATCAAAATGTTTGGCTAACGAAATGTGGGCTTATCGAAATGTGGGAACAACGCGATGTGGGCGTAACAAAATGGGAGCATGAAGCAGCGAAACCCAGTCGAGTTCGTCTGACTGATATCACTATACCTTTTCAACTTCAATTTCGGAATCGGTGAGTTATATTTCGGAAAAAGTAATCTCGATTTCAGAATTGGTTAGTTCGATTTCAGAAATGGTAAACTCAATTTCAGAATTGGTGAGATGAATTTCAGAAAAAGTCCATTCAATTTCAGAAATGGTAAGTTGTATTTCAGAATTATTATTGGTAGGTTCAATTTCAGAAGATGAAATCCTTCTATATAAATGTTTGAAATGTTTTTAATTGAAAAAGAGAAGATTGTTTACAGTGGATGAATGGTGTTTGAGAGCCCTATGTTGAATCAGATTGAACATATATGGGGTGCCGTCAAGTCAGAAGTGAAGAGCTTCTTGCAAGAGCATCGCCAAAGGGTCATAGCTGGGGATCCGAACAGCTTGCTCAACCAGATAGAATTCAGACTGCGATGTCTTGAGGAATGTGCAGATTATTCAATGAAAATGATAGCACCTCAAATGTGTTTGCATTCTCATAATCATGTGCAACGCTATTATCTTGAGATTATAATTATGTTATTGAATTGTTTTTGACAAGTTGAATATTGTATATATGGTTTGTTAATCTCACATACAATTGGAAACATTTCGAACAAATATAAGGATTTTTTTCTGAAATTGAACCTACGAATTCTGAAATACAACTTACCATTTCTGAAATTGAATGGACTTTTTCTGAAATTCATCTCACCGATTCTGAAATTGAGTTTATTATTTCTGAAATCGAACTAACCAATTCTGAAATCGAGATTACTTTTTCCGAAATTGAAGTTGAAAAGGTATTGTAATGGAATGATGGCAGAGATTTCTGAAGAACATTTCCCGCGGAAGTATATCTATAGAAAAGTGAATGGTCGCCGACTAATCTACGGTGTTCTTATGATGTCAAAGAGTTGGTGAGTGTTGCATCACCCATCAGGCGGATGGCTCTTTTCTGGATGGAATCTAAGAGCATCAGCGCATATTTGGAAACAGTATTCTCGAACAGGTCACATTTGTGCTTTGTAGATCATGAGGAGCTGTTGAGGTGTGAAGTAGCCATCCACACGGAACATGAATCCAAGTTTTTTTCAAGCAGACTTCGCGATGGATCTGACATGATATTTGTTCTTGAATTGTTGTTCTTGAATTGTTCTTTATCTGTTTTATGATACTTTTAGAATAAGATTTCAATGACAATCTCTCAGATTTATTTCAGCTCAAGAATGACAGTTGCCTCTATCCATATATAGAGTGTCACTTATTCAAATATAATAAACTAACATTAAACAATAATCATTATATAACATCCCCCCTTTCAAGCTTCAATTATTTTAGTCCTGATATCTTTTTGGTGGTCTTATGTTTCTACTTGTTTTCCGTAGAGCAATTGGTAAATTCTCAGCTTCTTCTGTAGTATCTTTGTTATATCCCTGTTTCGTTGTTTCCTCCTCTTCTGGACTTCTATCTGGTTTCAGCATAATTTCATTTCTCCTTATTACATTTCCTTTTTCATTATTTATCATGAATGATCTTTCGTCATATTTTTTCACTACTTTTCCTTTTTTCCATTCTCCGTCATCTGGTTTATCTTTGTAATACAGCCTGTCTCCTTCTACCCAATCGTTATTTCTTTTTATTGCTCCTTTGTTATATTGTTCGGCCACTTTTTGTTTATTAATTTCAATACTTTTTTTTATATCTTCATTTTCTAGCAATTGATGTTTTAAATCACTTTTTGGTACTTGGCATCTCAACCATCTGTTGAAGAATCTATTTGCTGGACTACTATTCATTTTATTTGGTGTGTTTCTGTGAGCAATAAGCATTTTATAAAAATCTACATTTTCGGCTATACTTTTCTTTATAAGTGTTTTTGCTATTTTAACTGCAGCCTCTGCTTTTCCATTCCCTTGTTGATGAAAAGGACTTGAGGTTCTATGATTGAACTCCCATTCTTCACCGAATTCTGTGAAATCTTTGCTTGTGAAATTTGAACCATTGTCTGTGATCACTGTTGAAGGGACCCCATATCTGCTGAATTGTCTTTTACATATCAAAATGGTAGATTTTGCAGACAAATCACCTAGTTCTTCTATTTCAAAAAAATCTGAAAAATGGTCCACCATAATCAAAAACTGTCTCTTCTTACCACTTATGGATATTTCAAAAACATCCATGCTCACAGTTTGAAATGGATATTCTGGAGTCTCAATAGAAATCATTTCATTCTTCTTTTGAGACGACGCGAACCTAGCGCAAGTTTCACATGATTCTATTTTATTTCTTATATCTCTTGATATGCCTGGCCAAAAAACAGTTTCTCGAGCCATTTTCATTGTGTTTTCGATTCCTGAATGTCCCGAATGCAATCTCTCAATTATCTCTCCTCGCAATTTTTTAGGAATTAATATTCTCCAACCTTTCAGAATTATATCCTCTTCTATTATCAATTCTTCCCTAAACGTCCAAAAAACTCTCAATTCTGCATCAACTTCCCTTTTATTCTTTGGCCAACCATTCTTTATATATTCTACCATCTGTTTGAGTATCTTGTCTTGTTTTGTGACTTCTTTAATCCTCTGTATCGTTTCACGTTTCACTGTTACTTCGCCCAGATTTTCGAATGTACGAATCTGATTCAGATATTCTATTGTTGTAATATATCTATCTTCCTCAATTTCATAAATATCTATCGATTTCTCTTCATTGGTGATATTCTCTGGTGCTCTTGAAAGTGCATCTGCAATAATAACTTCTTGTCCTTTTTTATATTTAAGCTCTATATTATATCTTTGTAGGCTCAAAATCATATTTTGTAATCTTTTTGGAGCCTTCAGTAATGGTTTCTTGAATATATTTATTAGTGGAGAATGATCTGTTTCTATCATAACTTTTTTACCACAAATATACTGATCAAATCGATGACAAGCAAAAAGAATAGCTAGCATCTCTTTTTCGATCTGTGCATAATTTCGTTGTGTTTTGGATAGTGTCTTAGATGCATATGCCACTGGTCGTTCATTTTGAAATAAGGCACATCCCATAGCATATGAAGAAGCATCGGTTTCAATTTTCACATCTTCCTCAATTTTGAAATATTTGAGCGTGATATCATTGGATATCATTTCTTTCAATTTTTCGAACGCTGTTTGTTGTTCTCCATTCCACTCAAATAATACGTTCTTGTGTGTTAATTTTCGTAGAGGCTCAGATATTTCTGATAAATTTTTCAAATATCTGCACATGTATGTAACAATACCCAAAAATCTTTGAATTTCTTCTTTATTTTTCGGAACTGCTATATTCTTTATAGCCGAAACTTTTTCTGGATCTGGTTTTATCCCTTCATCCGTCAACAATTGTCCGTAAAATTTTATAGTTTTGAGACCAAACTTAGCCTTGTCTTTATTCAATTTCAAATTTACGAATTTCAGTCGTTCAAATAATTTTTCAAGATTTTTGTTATGATCTAATAGTGCTTCTTCCTGAGTTTCTCCTCTTCCTACTATCAGTATATCATCAGCTAATACAAAAACTCCATCCAATCCCTGAATAATTTCCAACATTTTCTTTTGAAATATTTCCATAGCCGTCGATATGCCAAATGGAAGTCTGAGATAACAGTATTTACCAAATGGCGTCCAGAAAGCTGTTAACTTGCTACTTATTTCATCTAGTTTTAGTTGCCAAAATCCTTTTTTTGCATCAACCGTTGAAAATATTTTTGCATTGTTCAATTCTGTCATAATTTCATCTATCGTCGGTAGCTGTTGTTTTGTATCTTTCAAAACTCCATTTAAATTCCTAGGATCCAGACATATTCTCAATTTGTCTTTTTTCTTTACTATTGTTATATTGCTAACCCAATCTGTATATCCCTTTTCTTCTCTTATTATGCCCATTTCTTCCATTTCTTTCAATTCTTGTTTCAATTCTTCCTTCAATGCTACAGGTATTCTTCTTGGTGATTGTCTCACTGGTTTTGAATCTTTAACAATTTCCAAATTAACCTCCCCATCTAACTCTCCGAGTCCTGTGAAAAGATCTGCATATCTTTCAATCAATTCTTCAGTATTCTTTTGTTTAGTGCTTTGAATTGTGCTGCAATATTTAATAAGGCCTAAAGTCTCACATGCCTCAGCTGATAGCAGTGGCCCATGTTCGAGATCAACTACTTGGAACTGTTGATGATAAATTATATTATTTCTTTCAATTTTCATCTTATATGTACCAATAGTCTTCACCGTACCACCTCCGAATGCCTTCAAAATTACATTTGTCGGTTCTAGGTCTATTTTTGCCTTATTTAATATTTGTGATAAGTTTTCCATGCCTATCACATTACAACTAGCTCCTGTATCTAGTTGAAACTGCACATATTTTTTCGAGTTATTTTCTAAGCAAACTGCTAAATTTTCGATAACTTTACTTTTTCCATTAATTTGCAGAACAAATTTAACTTCTTCTTCACTATTTGTTTCTTCTACTCTCGCAACTTCATTTATTTCTTTTTCTTTCAAACACGCTTTGTAAAAATGACCAATTTTGCCACATCCTTTACACTTTGCACTTCTTGCTGGACATTCTTTCAAGCTTCTATGCCATTTATATCCACAAAATTTACATGTCTCATCTTTTTTATATTGATACTGTGTTCTTCTCTGGATCTTACATATCTCGTTCATTTTTGGTCCCATTTGTTTCAGCTGCGAATCTGCTACTTCAGAGGATTTGCATATTTCAATAGCTTCCTCTAATGTAATATTTTTTCTTAACCACATTTTTTGTTTAATATTCATATCCTTGACTGAACAAATTATTTTGTCCAGTAGCAGTTCATCTTCTTTATCTTCATATCGGCAGGTTTTCACCATGGATTTCAGTTTGATGAAATATGCATGATAAGATTCATTTTCCTCCTGCTGAACGGTATTGAATAAATACCTTTCGAATCTTACGTTCAATTCAGGTATCAAATGATTTCGCAATTTTCTCAATAAATTCTCAGCCGTTTGGTTTTCATCATTCACGTTCTCAATTTTGTATAATATTTTACATGCCTCTTCTCCAATACAAGATAATAACATAGCGATCTTCACCTTTTCGCTACCCTTCACCATATTAGTTATAATCAAATGATTGATCCACATTTTTTCGAAATATTCCAAGTTTGACTTCACATCACCTGTTAACTGAATTGGTGTTGGTAATGGCACATTGGTTCTTGTTTCGTAGGAGCTGGATTCACTAAATAATCTTTCTTTCAGTGCATTATTTTCTTCTGTTAGTCTTTTCACTGCTTCTTCTTTCTCCTTTGACAACTCGTCGATTCTGGAAGATGTCTCCTCCCGCAGTTGTTTAAACTGTTTCAATACTTCTTTGAATTCCTCCTGCATACTGTTTTACTTTCAATTCATACCTGACACCATGTTTTATGATACTTTTAGAATAAGATTTCAATGACAATCTCTCAGATTTATTTCAGCTCAAGAATGACAGTTGCCTCTATCCATATATAGAGTGTCACTTATTCAAATATAATAAACTAACATTAAACAATAATCATTATATAACATTATCGTCATCAGTCTGCCTCCTTACGACAAACAGTCAGAAATCTTGAAGAGATTTGTGCGATCAAGGAATGACGAAGGCCTTATCTATATCAACGTGTGATCCCAAACAGTTTCTTAGGCAATCAGAAAAATTCTGCAGTCGTCGGAATCGAATCCACCAACAGGGAATCCATCGTGAAGAGAATATAGCACATATGTAGACTTGGTGGGAATGGTGTAACCATCAGAGTTTGTTACATCAGTTATACCGAATTCCACCTCCATTGGGAATATACATGTTTTTGATTTTCTTCAACCTTCTGTTGGAAATATTTGAGGCCGCCTTTGCACTAGTATATATTTCTGCACGCTCTGTTCGGCCGCACACCATTCTCCATACAAACTGCTCCTTTTATTGTTCCAGTTCCGCCGGATATTGACGACTCCGGGACGACCGGCGATATTAGCATAAAGAAGGGTGGGAATGTGACACCCTTGTGACACTGAGTTGTATCTGGGTGCACGATATTCCATGGGACACTGAGGAGTTAGCTGATTCTCAGACAGGGTGTTTCAAAATTCGAATTCAGACAAAAGCATACTTAATTCAGGTCAAAATCAGACTTTTTTGCCAACTAATATCGATTCACAGCGCGTCGAAGTTTCAAGATTTTTCAATTTTTCTTTTAATATCTCTAAGTTTTCGAATCCTGATTTGTTCGTGTCACATTCAAAATTTTTTCTCTAGCCATTTTCAGGATTTGAAAAGCGAGAACATACTCACCAATGTCACATGCCAATCACAGTCATTATTGAATGAAATATTCATGTTATTGCCAGAACAGTTTACATGACATAGATACCCTAAATCATCCTGAAAGTGATCAAATTGTTCTAAAAATCAATTTACTTGTCCAAAAATAGCAACTTTTGGTTTCATGTGTGTAAAGTGATATCTCCGATTGAGTAAATCATACTGAAAAGTCGAGACGGCTGCAAAAAATAGTTATTTGTTTCAGTAGGTAGAAAAGCACAAGAATGAATGCTGCGGCTGGCGCTCAATAGCCAAGGTGTTGCCGAGGCCAGAAAACCAGCAAAGGAAATGGATCTGCTCTTATTTTGTCAGTTGAATGTCATAGGGAAGCAATTAATGTTATTTTGGGAAAATAGTTATTTGTTTCACTATGCAGAGACGCAAAAGATATAATTCCGAGGCTGATGTTTCACACATCTTCTGCCTGTTGAGTGTCATCTAGAAAAAAAAAAACGTTTTTTCACCCATACATGGTTTAATGACTGTTGAATCTTGTGCCCATTAGGCTAGGACTTATAAAACAATGAATAAAAGCGAGCCAGCACAAACATTCCCACAAACTTCCTTCTTTGTATATCAAAGTTTGCTTCGTTTCTTAGGCTGATGCAAACCCATTAACAACAGCAAACACCCTTAAATTAGTTGCGTTTTATTTGTTCCATGCTGGTAGCGGTGGTGGGAACAAAATGACATTCACAAATAAAACGAGAAACTTCATGAGCATTTACATAAGAGAGGATAAAAATGATTTCGAAATCAATAATGCTACAGTTGAGAATCTATAAAATCAATCAACATGCCTTGTAGTGAGGAAGAATGTGAAGTAGCAACCTGAATCGGAAAAGTTCCAAATACAATGACACAATTAGCTTGGTATATGTATGTTTGTAACGCGGAATCTATATGAACGTGATTTCGACCCACTGCAAAACGTCCGATTGATTTGAAATTTGGCAGGTGTATATAATTCTGGTGAAAATGCATAATTAAATATTCGCGAGAGAATGAAACCAAAATGGCGTATCCAAAATGCCGAACGAGTTCTGCAATTATGATCTGATTCCGATTGTATTCAAAATGGGTTTCGTCACAATTTGGGAATTCAGGATGGAGCATCCAATATGATGGATGCATTCATTCAAAAATGCTATCTTGGGGTTTCCGGGGTCGGAGATTATCATTATCTTGTGAAAATTAGAGAATTCAAGATGGCAGATCCGATATAGCGGACTGGTTTTGTAATTTTGATCAGATTCTATTTCAAATTTAGTATTTGGTGTTATTCGAGATCGAAGATGATACTTCCTTCAAAATTGGGAAACGCAAGATGGCGTATCCAATATTTATAGCGAATGAGCTTTGTGATGAATTGTAGTTTGAAGAACCAAAGAAAACGGAAAATAAACAGAAGTTCGAAAGTGTATTTTTAAATACACAAAAAAGAAAATAATACCAACTCCGTAATCAGTATAATATGTCATTCATTTCAGAATTTGTCGATAATTTCATATAGGACTGTTGAAATCGACATTGAAATGCAACTTCTGCGGCAATTGTTCAGTCACTTTCGATTCATTTTGTGACTTGTTGCTGATACCACACGAATCTGGCCATCTCAGGTTTTCAAATTTCCTGCACTCATTTACAAACGTGGAGATTTCGGTTGGCGAAGAAACACCTAACTTCTCGAAGTGTAAGAAGAATCGGAGATGTTTGAAGTCATTTTCAAATCAGAACTTTCCTGAAATCATTTGTTAATTGCATCAGAATTGTTTCTCACACGCGAAAGTTTCAGAAAGAAAGTGAATGACATCGTCGTGAATAGATTGGATATGTCACTTCGCTTCTGACGATGATGTACTATGTCGATATGATTTATATGTTATTAGTTGCGTTCCATTTATCCGAATCCACCACCGGAATCACTTCAATGTGTCCGTTTATTTGCAACTTCCTCGATTCTGATTGCTAATTTTCATCTCGTCTCAATACAAGAGATGACGTGGAATGACTGTTGACAGTTGTCAAGAAATTAAATCAGATCGACGAAGAACGAAACTTTTTGAAAGTAGAAGACATTTAGGAGACATTTTCATCGTGAGGTTCAGAAGCTTATGATTATTTCAAGTAAACAGGTTTCATATGTTTACGCCCAGATGGAATAAAATCTCTCGATCTTAGAGGAGTTCCTCTCATCTCCACAATCTCTGCTCCAAATATCAGTTGATTCATTTTTCAGAATTCCTAGCCCTAGAGGGTATTAGGATTTCGAAATTATTTGGAGCCCCAATACATAAATATAACCTTTATCACCTATTGCTTGCGTGCAAAAACTGTCAGATGCCCGACCCTGGAGGTGAAACATTGAAACACAACCTCACTTTTCTTATTTGTCTACAAGTGATTGAAATAGTTTTCCACAATTATGTTGGCATATGAATCGTGTTTTTCGGCTATTCATTAATCCGCGCATGCCATCACACTGTGCTGTTGTACAGTGCACATAAAATGCAGCAGGAGACGAAGAAATCTGGTTGGTACATTCTGATTCAAAAGTGAGTATCTACTAGTCACTCACATATAGTTTTTATTTTTGAAATTTGGTTATTTCTCTGATTTCTCAGCGGAATTCTTTCTGCAATAGGAGCTAATAGAAATACTCATGAAATTTATCAAATAATGCAAGAAGATTGGATTCATGCATTCGAACGGGAGGACTGGTCTGACATGCTGACGGAATATGATCGTTTGTGTTGTAGATATTTTCAATCTATTAGCAGTATCAGCTTCTGCAGAAGTGGCAGAAGGCATTTCAATAAGAAATGACTAAATTTCATAATGAAAACTGTGAGATTACTATTCAGCTGAAAAATCATATCCCTTCGCCTCTTGCTGCATTTTTTGTGCATTTAACAACAGCACAATGAGAAGGCATGCTTGAATTGATGAATAGCGCAAAAAACACGATTCGTTTGCCAAAATATTGTGAAAAACTACTTCAATCCGTTGATTCCTCTGTAAACAAATAAAAAAGTGGGGTTGGGTTTCAATGTTTCACAGAAAAGTGAGGTTGTGTTTCAATATTTTACCTCCAAGGTCGGTCATCGTGCACGCGACCTATGATATGTCAATTCTCTCACACGAGGTTATGAAGGTTCCTTTTTTATTCGTGAACGTCATTTTTCAATATCACCGCAACCAGAATGAAACGAATGAAACGCAACGACTCTCGTATTTCTTCGATATCGGCGAAATCAGTCGTAACTGGAAAAGCATATATTGTTTTGTTTTACTCGAACTAGGGGTCTCATTGATATACCTCTATTTTATTCATTATTATCATCATGTTGACTATAGAAATGTACTATCAATATACTTCATCTTCTACATTATTTTAGTTTGGCTATCTATCATAGCGTTTTTAATCAGTTGTTCAAACTGTTATTGATTATTGTTTCAGTTCCGCCGGATATTGACGACTCCAGAACCAGTGGCGACATCAGTATAAAAGAGGGTGATAATGTGACACTGACTTGCAGCGCTACAGGGCACCCCCAGCCCAAGATCGTGTGGCGCAGAGAGGATGGAGAACATGTACTTGCCGAAGTAGAAGGAAAACAACAGAAAGGTGAGGATTCTCATACAGGCTGTCTCGAAATAAGCCTGCCAAACTTCACGCTTCAAGCTGCTGGCGGAGTTTGTATTGAATAAATGTTTGGAGATGAAAATGAGATTCAGAAGAATACTGTAGTCAGTTCTAAATCGTATCTTTATTTATTTATTATAAAATTGAACATCAACCTTTTTCCAGCTAACTACCTTTATCAGAATTCCCATCACATGTCAACTTGTCATCCATGATTATATCATTATACAAAGTATCGTATTTAGATATCTAAAACAGTCATTATACAAAGTATTGCATTTGGATATATATAACATCTCCCTTTCTGAATAAAAGCAGAAAACCGTAAATATACCGGATACAAAAATGAAACTATCTTTTTACCTGTTTGTAAACTCGACCATACCTAGATTTATTGGTAATTTCAAACTCAGATACTCTACTTGCTATACCTGAAGAAGTTGACGTTAAATTGTCATCAGATAGTTGAGTAGAATTTCTATTTGGAAAAAATACAGATGTTTCTCCAGAAAGGTTACTTTTATCTAACCTAATGAATTTTCTATTTCTTCTGTATATGGCGGTTTCATACCTTCAGAATTAAAAGTATTTCCTGCTGTTGGTGCAGTACTTCTTCAGGAAAATAAACCTGTTGCTTATTCTTCAAAAACCCTAACTGATTCACAGCAAAATATGGCTCAGATTGAAAAAGAGCTGTATGCTATTCTTTTTGGGTGTAATAAGTTTCATCAATTTCTATACGGTCAAGTAGTAAACGTTCAAACAGACCATAAGCCTTTGGTTACTCTTTTCAATAAATCTCTTGCCGATGTCCCTACAAGACTTCAAAGAATGATGCTTTCTCTACAACCTTATACGTTAAGAGTAAAATATGTTCCTGGCAAAGAGCTTATAATAGCTGATACTCTTTCAAGAGCTGCTCTTCCTGAAACTGAAATCTATGAAATGGAACAAGATATTCAAGTTCATATTAATTTTGTTTATGCAAATCTTGCACTTACTGAACAGAAAAAACAAGAAATTTCTTCTGCTAGTAAGACTGATTCAGAACTGTCCGTTCTCAAAAAATTCTATGAACAAGGGTGGCCTTCATCAAAAAATCAAAGTCCCAATATTATAAAACCATATTGGAATATACAAGCTGAAATACATGTCATAAACGACTTAGTTTTCAAAGGTTCAAGTCTCATTATACCAATGTCTATGCGTGCTGAAATTCTCAAGAAGCTTCATGATGGACATTTAGGTATCAATATAACAAAAAATTTGGCACGTGGTACAATTTATTGGCCTACTATGAATCATGATATTGAGAACTTAGTTGCTCAATACAGCATATGCGCTAAATTTCAACAAAATAATGCTTCAGAACCACTTCACACTTTTCCTATTTCAAATTTTCCATGGGAACGTGTTGGAATAGATTTTTTTCAATTTCGAAACGACAAATTTTTGATTGTAGTTGATTATTATCCAAAATATATTGAATTTGCTAAACTTTCAGATTGTACATCTCCTACAATTATTCTTCATCTCAAATCAATTTTTGCTCGTCATGGTATTCCTATTTATTTAGTTTCTGACAATGACAGTCCCTTTAATTCAGCAGTTTTCAAAAATTTTTTGGAGCAATGGGAAATTGACCATGTTACTACAAGTCCTTATCATTCCCAAGCTAATGGTCAAGTTGAGAGTAGCGTGAAAATTATAAAAAATATGATGCATAAGTGTTTAGAATCAAAGACAGATCCTTATATTGCCTTGCTACACTATAGAACCACTCCAAAAAATAATCTACCTTCTCCATCTCAATTACTAATGGGTAGGCAGTTGAGATCAAACATACCTGTTACTTTTGATTATTTGCAATCCAAAGCAATACCTATACTTGAATATAAAGAAAAAGAGAAGCAAAACAAAAATATAATGTCAAAATATTATAACAGGGATGTTAAAAGTTTGAACGATCTCAGTCCACATGATTCGGTTTTATTCAAGAAATATCCAAATTCAAAATCATGGTCTAAAGCTATTGTTCTAGATAAAGTGAAAAATGTTCTTAGGTCATATTCACTTAAATCTGAAGGAGGAATATACAGAAGAAATAGAAAATTCATTAGGTTAGATAAAAGTAACCTTTCTGGAGAAACATCTGTATTTTTTCCAAATAGAAATTCTACTCAACTATCTGATGACAATTTAACATCAACTTCTTCAGGAATAGCAAGTAGAGTATCTGAGTTTGAAATTTCCAATAAATCTAGGTATGGTCGAGTTTACAAACAGGTAAAAAGATAGTTTCATTTTTGTATCCGGTATATTTACGGTTTTCTGCTTTTATTCAGAAAGGGAGATGTTATATATATCCAAATGCAATACTTTGTATAATGACTGTTATAGATATCTAAATATGATACTTTGTATAATGATATAATCATGGATGACAAGTTGACATGTGATGGGAATTCTGATAAAAGTAGTTAGCTGGAAAAAGGTTGATGTTCAATTTTATAATAAATAAATAAAGATACGATTTAGAACTGACTACAGTATTCTTCTGAATCTCATTTTCATCTCCAAACATTTATTCAATAACAAAGCATCATTCTTTGAAGTCTTGTAGGGACATCGGCAAAAGATCAAGAGTAACCAAAGGCTTATGGTCTGTTTGAACGTTTACTACTTGACCGTATAGAAATTGATGAAACTTATTACACCCAAAAAGAATAGCATACAGCTCTTTTTCAATCTGAGCCATATTTTGCTGTGAATCAGTTAGGGTTTTTGAAGAATAAGCAACAGGTTTATTTTCCTGAAGAAGTACTGCACCAACAGCTGATTTTGATGCATCAACAGAAAGAACAATTGATTTTTTAGAATTGAAGTGTACTAGAACCTGTTCGGAACTAATCATATCTTTCAGATCATTGAAAGCTTTATCATAATTTGAATCCCAATACCAAGGAGTATTTTTACGAAGTAGCTGCCTGAAAATGTCAGTTTTAGCTGAAAGATTTTCGATGAAAGAAGATAAATAATTAATCATACCAAGAAATCTTTGTAAATCCTTGATACATTTAGGAGTTGGCATTTCCTTGATAGCTTTTACTTTTGAAGTATCAGGTTTCATACCTTCAGAATTGAAAGTATTTCCTGAGTACGTTACTTCTTTGAGTTTGAATTTCGATTTAGATTCATTGAATTTCATATTTACTTGTCTAGCTCTAACAAATACCTTTTCGAGAATTTGATTATGGGAATTGTCATCGGAAGAATGAATCAGAATATCATCTGCGAAAATTAGTACACCCTCTATATCTATAAAAATATCACACATCACTCTGTAGAATACTTCAGGAGAACTACTTATACCAAAAGGAAGCCTTAGGTACTTATATCTACCAAAAGGAGTTTGGAAAGTAGTTAAATCAGTACTAGATTCTTCTAGGGGAATTTGCCAAAATCCGGAACGAGCATCTAAATGAGAAAATATTTTTGAACCTTGAAGTTTATATCGAATTTGTTCAATAGAAGGCAGTGGATAATGTGATCGCATAATTGCTTCGTTAAGCTTTCTAGGATCAAGACAGATTCTTAATTTACCTGAAGGTTTCTCTACTACAACCATAGAACTTACCCATTTAGTTGGATGTGTCACCTTCTCGATCACTTTTTGTTTTACCATATCATCAAGTTCATTTTTCAGCCTTTCATGTAGTGATAGTGGTACTTTCCTCGGAGGATCTATAACTGCGGGTATTTCTGGTCTGAGAACTATCTCATATTTATGTGGAAGACATCCTAAACCTTCAAAAACATCATTATAATTTTTTATGAAAGAGTCTAGGAAAGAATCATAAGAGATTTCATTTATACTGTAACCTTTCTGAAGTAAATTCAATTTTTTACAAGTTTCTAGTCCAAATAAAGTTGTGCAATGACAATTTACAATAAAGAAGTTAATTTCATGTATCTGTTCATTAATATCGCACAAAATTAAAGCTTCTCCTAACACATTTATTTCATTTCCACCAAATCCTGACAATTTTGTTGAGGTTTCATTCATAATAGAGCTATCTAATTTCAATTTTTTGAAAATATTGAAAGACATAACATTTACAGCAGCTCCACTGTCTAAAATGCAAGTAAGAAAAGTATTATTGATTTTTATTCTAATTTGCCATGAAGAATGATTATTCACTTGATTCACTACTGATCCTATGAGAAAATTTGAATCTGAAGTAGATGTTTCAGTTGTATCCAGAATTTCTACAAGATTTGTTTTCCTTTTAAAACAATACTTTGGATAATGACCCACCTTTTTACATAAATTACATTTAACTAACGCGGCTGGGCATTTGAATCGATGAATCTGTCCACATCTTCCGCAAATTGCTTGATTGGACTTGCTTTGGCTTGAAATATCAGTAGATTTCGGAATCCTGCATTCTGATGGATTTCTGTAGTGATTTTTGTCGTTCTTGAAGTTCCTGTCATTGCTGTTTGTCTGGTTGACATTGTGAAACTGTCTTCTGTTACGTTGATAGTTGAATTGATGAATGGATTTATTTACTTGAAGAATATCGTTGTTTTCCAGTCTCTCTACATTTTCTTGAGAAAGAATCATTGCTTTTGCAGTATTAACAGCTTCATCCAGGGATTGTTCTTTCTCCAGTAACTTTTCCTTCATTTTCAGATGCCGTTTATTCATGTTGCAAATGAATATATCTTTGATGAGAGATTCTTTCAGGTTACCAAAATCACAAACATTTGCGAGGTTTTTTAGTTCAGTAAGAAATGCTTCGATTTCTTCTTGACCTTGATGTCTTGTAAAAAATTTATATCTAGCCATAGTGAGGTTTGTTTTAGGTACGAAATGGCTTTTGAACCTTTCAATAAGGTCTTTGAATTTTACTGTAGACCTTTCCATGTTGAATGAATTGAAAATGTCCATACCTTGTGGTCCAATAAAATGTAATAGCATAGCGACTTTTCTTTCATCTGTTTCGGAGTTGAATCCACTTGCTATCAGGAATATTTCGAAGGATTGGAACCATTTAGTCCAGTTTGATGATAGATTTCCTTTCATGTCCATGTGTGCTACCGAACTTTGGTACATCATTTTCTCTTGGGGATTGATTCTTTCTGTCTGCAGCATTTTTATAGGTACTTCCAAACTTCTGACACCATATTGAATAAATGTTTGGAGATGAAAATGAGATTCAGAAGAATACTGTAGTCAGTTCTAAATCGTATCTTTATTCATTCATTATAAAATTGAACATCAACCTTTTTCCAGCTAACTACTTTTATCAGAATTCCCATCACATGTCAACTTGTCATCCATGATTATATCATTATACAAAGTATCATATTTAGATATCTATAACAGTCATTATACAAAGTATTGCATTTGGATATATATAACATTTTTATTTCGGAATCCTGCATTCTGATGGATTTCTGAAGTGATTTTTGTCGTTCTTGAAGTTCCTGTCATTGCTGTTTGTCTGGTTGACGTTGTGAAACTTTTCATACCTTCAGAATTAAAAATATTTCCTAAGTACGTTACTTCTTTGAGTTTGAATTTCGATTTAGATTTATTGAATTTCATATTTACTTGTCTAGCTCTAACAAATACCTTTTCGAGAATTTGATTATGGGAATTGTCATCGGAAGAATGAATCAGAATATCATCTGCGAAAATTAGTACACCCTCTATATCTATAAAAATATCACACATCACTCTGTAGAATACTCCAGGAGAACTACTTATACCAAAAGGAAGCCTTAGGTACTTATATCTACCAAAAGGAGTTTGGAAAGTAGTTAAATCAGTACTAGATTCTTCTAGGAGAATTTGCCAAAATCCGGAACTAGCATTCTGCACCAACAGCTGATTTTGATGCATCAACAGAAAGAACAATTGATTTTTTAGAATTGAAGTGTACTAGAACCTTTTCGGAACTAATCATATCTTTCAGATCATTGAAAGCTTTATCATAATTTGAATCCCAATACCAAGGAGTATTTTTACGAAGTAGCTGCCTGAAAATGTCAGTTTTAGCTGAAAGATTTTCGATGAAAGAAGATAAATAATTAATCATACCAAGAAATCTTTGTAAATCCTTGATACATTTAGGAGTTGGCATTTCCTTGATAGCTTTTACTTTTGAAGTATCAGGTTTCATACCTTCAGAATTAAAAGTATTTCCTAAGTACGTTACTTCTTTGAGTTTGAATTTCGATTTAGATTTATTGAATTTCATATTTACTTGTCTAGCTCTAACAAATACCTTTTCGATAATTTGATTATGGGAATTGTCATCGGAAGAATGAATCAGAATATCATCTGCGAAAATTAGTACACCCTCTATATCTATAAAAATATCACACATCACTCTGTAGAATACTTCAGGAGAACTACTTATACCAAAAGGAAGCCTTAGGTACTTATATCTACCAAAAGGAGTTTGGAAAGTAGTTAAATCAGTACTAGATTCTTCTAGGGGAATTTGCCAAAATCCGGAACTAGCATCTAAATGAGAAAATATTTTTGAACCTTGAAGTTTATATCGAATTTGTTCAATAGAAGGCAGTGGATAATGTGATCGCATAATTGCTTCGTTAAGCTTTCTAGGATCAAGACAGATTCTTAATTTACCTGAAGGTTTCTCTACTACAACCATAGAACTTACCCATTTAGTTGGATGTGTCACCTTCTCGATATTCATTTGCAACATGAATAAACGGCATCTGAAAATAAAGGAAAAGTTACTGGAGAAAGAACAATCCCTGGATGAAGCTGTTAATGCTGCAAAAGCAATGATTCTTTCTCAAGAAAATGTAGAGAGACTGGAAAACAATGATATACTTCAAGTAAATAAATCCATTCATCAATTCAACTATCAACGTAACAGAAGACAGTTTCAATATACAGAAGAAATAGAAAATTCATTAGGTTAGATAAAAGTAACCTTTCTGGAGAAACATCTGTATTTTTTCCAAATAGAAATTCTACTCAACTATCTGATGACAATTTAACGTCAACTTCTTCAGGTATAGCAAGTAGAGTATCTGAGTTTGAAATTACCAATAAATCTAGGTATGGTCGAGTTTACAAACAGGTAAAAAGATAGTTTCATTTTTGTATCCGGTATATTTACGGTTTTCTGCTTTTATTCAGAAAGGGAGATGTTATATATATCCAAATGCAATACTTTGTATAATGACTGTTATAGATATCTAAATACGATACTTTGTATAATGATATAATCATGGATGACAAGTTGACATGTGATGGGAATTCTGATAAAGGTAGTTAGCTGGAAAAAGGTTGATGTTCAATTTTATAATAAAAAAATAAAGATACGATTTAGAACTGACAACAGTATTCTTCTGAATCTGATTTTCATCTCCAAACATTTATACAATATGGTGTCAATGGATTCATTTACTTGAAGTATATCATTGTTTTCCAGTCTCTCTACATTTTCTTGAGAAAGAATCATTGCTTTTGCAGTATTAACAGCTTCATCCAGGGATGGTTCTTTCTCCAGTAACTTTTCCTTTAGGAAAATTTGAAATAGGAAAAGTGTGAAGTGGTTCTGAAGCATTATTTTGTTGAAATTTAGCGCATATACTGCATTGAGCAATTAAGTTCTCAATATCATGATTCATAGTAGGCCAATAAATTGTACCACGTGCCAAATTTTTTGTTATATTGATACCTAAATGTCCATCATGAAGCTTCTTGAGAATTTCAGCACGCATAGACATTGGTATAATGAGACTTTGACCTTTGAAAACTAAGTCGTTTATGACATGTATTTCAGCTTGTATATTCCAATATGGTTTTATAATATTGGGACTTTGATTTTTTGATGAAGGCCACCCTTGTTCATAGAATTTTTTGAGAACGGACAGTTCTGAATCAGTCTTGCTAGCAGAAGAAATTTCTTGTTTTTTCTGTTCAGTAAGTGCAAGATTTGCATCAACAAAATTAATATGAACTTGAATATCTTGTTCCATTTCATAGATTTCAGTTTCAGGAAGAGCAGCTCTTGAAAGAGTATCAGCTATTATAAGCTCTTTGCCAGGAACATATTTTACTCTCAACGTATAAGGTTGTAGACAAAGCATCATTCTAGAAGTAACGTACTTAGGAAATACTTTTAATTCTGAAGGTATGAAACCTGATACTTCAAAAGTAAAAGCTATCAAGGAAATGCCAACTCCTAAATGTGTCAAGGATTTACAAAGATTTCTTGGTATGATTAATTATCTATCTTCTTTCATCGAAAATCTTTCAGCTAAAACTGACATTTTCAGGCAGCTACTTCGTAAAAATACTCCTTGGTATTGGGATTCAAATTATGATAAAGCTTTCAATGATCTGAAAGATATGATTAGTTCCGAAAAGGTTCTAGTACACTTCAATTCTGAAAAATCAATTGTTCTTTCTGTTGATGCATCAAAATCAGCTGTTGGTGCAGTACTTCTTCAGGAAAATAAACCTGTTGCTTATTCTTTGCGAGGTTTTTTAGTTCAGTAAGAAATGCTTCGATTTCTTCTTGACCTTGATGTCTTGTAAAAAATTTATATCTAGCCATAGTAAGGTTTGTTTTAGGTACGAAATGGCTTTTGAACCTTTCAATAAGGTCTTTGAATTTTACTGTAGACCTTTCCATGTTGAATGAATTGAAAATGTCCATACCTTGTGGTCCAATAAAATGTAATAGCATAGCGACTTTTCTTTCATCTGTTTCGGAGTTGAATCCACTTGCTATCAGGAATATTTCGAAGGATTGGAACCATTTAGTCCAGTTTGATGATAGATTTCCTTTCATGTCCATGTGTGCTACCGAACTTTGGTACATCATTTTCTCTTGGGGATTGATTCTTTCTGTCTGCAGCATTTTTATAGGTACTTCCAAACTTCTGACACCATATTGAATAAATGTTTGGAGATGAAAATGAGATTCAGAAGAATACTGTAGTCAGTTCTAAATCGTATCTTTATTTATTTATTATAAAATTGAACATCAACCTTTTTCCAGCTAACTACCTTTATCAGAATTCCCATCACATGTCAACTTGTCATCCATGATTATATCATTATACAAAGTATCGTATTTAGATATCTATAATAGTCATTATACAAAGTATTGCATTTGGATATATATGACAGTTTGGCAGGTCAAAAATAGGAAAAGTTTCGATGAATATGAGTCGATAAATGTCTCCTAAGGAAGCAACGGGCCCATGAAAGGGTGGGCTCAGAGATGATATTTCCTGAATATCTCTGAAACGCCATGTGATGAAATGAGCCAATTTGGTATGAGAACTTAACTTGTCATGCCCAATGCAATGAAGATGAAATCATCCCAAAGTTTCTTTCAGAAGTATAAAGAAGTATATCATAGGGTTGGAATACATTAAATATCACTCAGACTATTTTGTATAAATGTTTTTCGAAAATTCAATCTGAGATTATGAAAATCCACATCTCTCCACATTAGAGAGGTGATCGACTCATCTTCATTAGAACTTTTCTTCCTAGTTTTGGTCGTTAAAGCCGCTGGTGGAGGTCGGCACGCTAATTTCAGGACACCCTGTTTTCGCACGCAGAATCAAAAATTGCGCTCGTTTCACTGAAGACAAAACAATGATACCTCTAGTAGATGTTGATAGCTCTTTGAACAGCGTGCTCCAATGTGGGTTAGTTCTGATGATATAGGCAAATCCGACAATTTCGGAATTGAATAATGAACATGTTGTCATGCCTTCGATCGTGATGAATGTCGCCAAAGTGCATCAGCAGCATTTCAGTCATACATGGAAAGATTCCTAATGAAAAATAATTCAACTTTGGTAATTTTGTTGACTTGGTGCGGAATTGTCGTGACACAGAGGGTGCTTGAAGTGAATAATAGGAGGACATGTGAAAGGCTTGTGCCACCAGAAATCGGTGGAATTGGGGAAGATATTATGTGATTGATCAATGACGATCCAACAATGATTGAAAGGTCCATAGCAGGAGAAGTCGGAGTGGATATGGAAGACACCAATACGAGAAAAATTCCATCCAAATCATTATTGAAGAGTATACAATCGTTACAACCTCATCAAGATTGTTCTGATGGAGGGGTTGATTTT